TGCCGAGAAACCCACATGGCGAGGCCTGGAGGCTTTGCCAACAGTCATCAAGGAAGTTGGGCCAGTTAATGTCACATGAATGAGTTTAAAAAGGAATCTGCTTTCATCAGATCTGTAACAACTATGGCTCATCAGACAGCTTGTCTGCAACCTTCCTCTAAGATCTCGAGCTAGATCAGCCTTCCTAGATCCTTGGTTTTCACAAAATACGAGAAAATAAATGTTCTTGTTTTAAAGCTCTTACATTTGGCGAAATTTGTTATGCAGTGGTAGATAACCAACATAACCCTTTAAGTTGCACATGTAAATAAGCTAATAATTGTGGAACATTTATTTTATTCCACCTACTGTTATAAGTGCTTCACATGAATTAAGTTTACAAGAACTCTGTGACATTTTTACTCTTATCATTTTAATTTCAGAGATAACAATACAGGGGGTGGGGACACAGAGAGACAAAGTACCTTCTTTAAGGTTAGAGAGCTTGCAAGTGCCCTCACCAGGACCTGAGCCCAGGAAGTCTGCTTTCAGAGCCTAGTCTCAGGAGGCTGCTGTCAGTGGGTCAGTGCTAGAGTCATCTCAAAGCTTAGCTAGGGCTGAGAATCTGTTCTCAAGTTCAGTTGCTCAGCTGTCAACAAGCTTCAATTCCTTGCTTACTGTGACCTGAGACTCTTCATTCTCACTAGTGAATGATGAAATCATCACTACCTTTAAAAATGCGATCATGCTATATGAATTTCTGTTTTTCTCCCAGCAACATATTTCCTATGAAACTAAATATATTTCTCACCATCATTTTTAAAGGGTTTTTGGATGCAAATTGCCAACTTGAAAAGGCAGAAATCCTTTAGGCAAATCAGCTAAAATATAGTGACTCTCGTTTAATCTTTTTTTAATTCATGCATTAAAACAGAAATTTCATTCAACGCTATAGCTGGTAGCTTGAGTCAGTACTATTTTAAAAAATGAAATCTGTGTTTTTACTATGCAGCAGTGGTTTTTACTTACAACTTATTACTACATAGTAATATCTAACTGTTTGCAGTTATAAAAACAAATAACTATAAAAATTGAAATTCTACAAAAGCAATTTATTTATTTATTTATTTATAGTAAGGGGGATTGACTTATAGTGTTGACCTTTCATATGCTAGGCAAGAGCTCTACCACTGAGCTATACCCCTCAGCTCCAAATTCTTTCTCTAGTGCTACCTGTAAACTATGCAATTTACATGGGTTATTTACTAGTGTAGTGAAGGAAAATGTTTTCTGTAATAGACCTGTGTGAATTCTGATGGTCCTATTTTTGCAAGGTGTTAGTATAGCAGGAAAATTCCTCCCATCCTGAATTTCACACAAAGATGCCCTACTTAGAGGCTCATTGTTATTTGTTTCCGGGAAGAACATGATGGTGCTGTTGGTTCCACCTGTCATGGTGCATGTGAAATTGGCTTAAAAGAGCCCCATGCCAGTTGTCATTACAAACACAAATCCTGCACCTTGGGGAAAAGAAGGTCTAGAAGATGAGCATCTTCAAAGGCAGAGATCACTTTAGAGAAAATTAAACCCAGCAGGGAGGGCTCTATAAAGGACTTAGACTTGAAAAACAACAACAGGGCACTATTCAAAAGGAATTAATTCTAAATGAAGCAAATCCTTCATGTTACATGTTTAAAATGTCCTTTGGTTATATCTTTTTAGTTTTAGGATATAGGCACATGCAGCACTGTAGGACTTCTGAGTGGATTGCTCCCTGGCATTCCCTGATTTATTTGTCTTGCTCTTTCTTTTCCTGAAGTATACTAATTTTGAAGAAAACATAAATGTTTGTATGTTTTTCATGTTTTTTCACCAATATGCTCATGTATCAGGAAAATGACTTTTCCTGAATGATAGTATAAGTCTTTAATGAGTTTTTGATTTAGCACAATTCCTTAAATCCTTTCAGTAAAATACTTGGTAAGGTTGGATTATGCCTTGTGTAGTGTATTTTTCTCTAATCAAGTTATTTAATTACTTAATTTGTGAAATATAATCCGGAGAGTTATTCTAGGAAATTGTTAGGGGTTCAGACTCTCTGTTGCCCCAGATATATTGCAGGACTTTGTGTACCCTTGTCACTCTGCTTTTAAAACCCTGACTAAGGATGGAACCTGGCACCAGCTGACAGGAGCACTGTGCTATGTTGATTCAATCCTATGTAAATTTGTTTGGGCAATTAATGACAGTTGAGGTAGGACTTTTGTTTGTTTAAAAGCTGGAATTTCTGTCTATTAAATTTATTTATTTATTTATTTTGGTACCAGGATTGAACTTATAACCTTGTGCTTGCCAGGCAGGTGCTTACACCACTGAGCTAAATCCCCGACTATTAAGTTTTTCTTTAAAAATAAAAATTAAAAACTGCCACTAACATGAACTCCCAGAACCAACTGCTAAATATCATTTCCATTTGTTCAGCTGGTGTGTTATAGGGAGGCCTTTACACACACTAAATACATTCATGTAAAATTAAGAGTTCTTTGAAAACTAATTGAGTCTAAAGGTCATTTTAACACCTTTTTGTCACTTCAGTTGGGTTAAAATACATGATTTCAATGTCTCTGAATAATTAAGACTGAATATATTCTCCCAAACAACATCTGAGTGGCCTCTCATAAAAACAGGACAAGCAGCATTATTAGAATAGTATTCTACACATTCAATGTTTATGTGTTTTTCATATAATAATAATATGTGAATTATTTTTTTTCAGAAAGAGTTGGGCTTTCAATACTTGGTGAGGGCTGGCAGTGGGACTCAGTGGTAGAGCATTTCCTTGGTCTGTTTGAAGCCCTGGATTCTACCCTTAGCATTGAAAGTCAGTCAACCAACCAGGCAGTCAAGCAAACAAAGTTGGGTGCAAATCTTTGAAAAAACAATTTTCAAATGCACAGGAAGCTAAATGTTGTCTTCAGGCACAGAATTTATATTGTCAACAACAATTCCAGTTAATAGCTGGTACTTTCCGAAAGAGCACTAGTCAGTGATTCTACGAATGTTTCCATTTTTAAAGGGTTTAAGATCGCTGACTGCATCAGCCCAATTCCATGAAACATGGCTCAACCTTAGGGTGGAGACTTCTAAGAAACTTTTCCTGCTGTGCGTGACCAGGGCAGGACAAGTTTCTGCACCGCAGACAAGCAGCTTGCTCCTGGGGAAACCAGATGTGCTCAGAGACAATTTGTCTCTCTGAATGACCGGATGTCTTCACTGCTTCGTGGGCTTAAGGCTTCTAGTGGATGCTTCTTATTTGCTGGATGACATTTGCCAAAGCCATCCTTACCGCTGCATTCTCAGGGAAGATACAGATCTCTAAGTAACACCCTGACATTTATCTTCTTCGTTGCCTTTCCCTCTTTTCCCTATTCTACTTTTTTGCCTGTTCTGCATTATTAATTCAAAAGTCTGAAACATACAAGGATCAGTTTTCATCTTCTTAAAACCACTCATCATTGTTTTCTGGTTCTTGGAAATTCTGGGTCTCTTAGCTAAGAAAAGTGCTTTACTTGGTGTCATGTTTATGTTGCAGGATGGATTTGTTTTCTTTCCTTTATACCTAAGTCATACTTTGAATTTTCCTACAAAATACAGTTCTTCTGGGAGCTTATGACTAATATATCCAGGATGGGCATTTCCTGTTAAACAAAGCATGAAATTAAATACAATTAGAAAGGAAATGACACAATTGAAAGAGTATTAGACTGGGAAGGGGAAGACTTAGCCTCCATCTCGGTTCCAAAACTTGACCCACATGTGTTTGGTCCAGTCCGTATTTCACTTGATATATATGTATATGTATATATAAAATCATTGGCAGTATCTAATCAACATGCGGACAATAATAATTGTATGAAACTTATGTAAGTGATATTTATAAACATATTGCATATTTTACAAGTATATACAACTCTAATAGTACATACCCAGATACATATATATGCACAAATGGAATATATTAAAATATAAGATTATAAAACAAACATATAATTTTAAAATAACATTTTGACTCTCATATTTGCTTAGGGTGTTTGGGTTCTAGGCATCTATTGTTTTTCTGTCTGAAATGGATTACTCAGAGATGAAGGTCATAGCTCCTCCAACAATACCTGGGCTAGTGGCTGTCAGACACAGACCAGTGACACTGTTTAATGCAATATGATGATCAAAATATATGGTGAGTGCTTAATTTAAAAAAATTATTACAGTAAATGACATGTTGCCAATAATTCCTCCCTTGAGATCATGTCCCTTAATTTGAACATACTTATTCTATCTTTCTTGCCACTTTCTGAAGCAATTCTAAACATTCTCTTTCTTTAGTTTCTTTATGAAGTCTGATTTAAGAGACACAGTGAATGCTGCTAAGTGCCACCCAAGAGAAAGGCAGCCTTGCAAGAACATCGCTATGTGCCCTTGTCTGCCTAATTCGCCCCATCTATCACCAGCTATTTTCTGGATTTTCCTAAAAATCTAAATGACCATGGAAGGGAAACGTTTTGAATCCATGCAGGACACTGAGGCAGCCAGCATAGTGTGACTAAAGAGACTAGGAGAAAAGACTTCGGGAAATGCTTCGGAAAGGGCAAGAACAATGGGATAAGTGTGTTGCACACGAGGGGAAGTATTTTGAAGGATTAGTGGCACTATTTTACGATTATCTATCTATCTATCTATCTGTCTGTCTGTCTGTCTGTCTTCATCTGGATGTGAGCTGAGCCATGGAGCCATAAAACTTATTTTGTATCTTCATGCCCTCAGTTTGGAGCCAAGAAAAGCGCTTCTCTGGTTTCCACTGTGCCTTCTCACAGGTAGCTAAGAGCTCACCGAGGAGGAGGATCAAAGGCACCCTGCAGGGGGACCCTGCTGGCCCAGGCTCCGCAGGGGTCTCCTCCCCCTCCCGGGCCTGGGGAAGCCCCGGGTCCGCCCCTCCCCTCCAGCCCCAGGCGGTACAGAGCGGGATGGGCTGCAGCGGCAGCAGGAAGGTGGTCCCTGAGCCTCCCGAACCGCCTGCGCTTGGCCAAGGCCAGGCGGGTCCCGGACCCGAGGCAGCAGCGCAGGCGGCCAGGAGCATGCAGGTGGCTCACTTCCGAGCCAGGTTCCACGCGCGCGTCCTCGCCAGGTAAAGCGGGAAGCGTGAGGAGGGAGTGGCCCAGGGCTGAGGGGAGACAGAAACCTCGGACGAAGCCTGTCTTATGGCCGCTCTAGTGTACCTGTATTTTGCAAGAAGTGACTTTCAGGTTATAGGCCTGGATGTCCCCTAAATCCTTTTCCTGCCTCTTTGAGATTATCAATCTACACCTGAAGAGCCTAACTGTTAGAATCAATCAACAAACACCCAGGCCCAATGGCTCCTGGGCACCAGCACCTTTTGAGTTTCTGCTCTGGCCTCATCTCAAAGACCTCTTGACCTCAGTTGCTATAGACTGTGATCCAGGCTGCCATGCTGTTTCCAGTAACCATCCGTTGTAATTGCCCTTTGGCATCTCTGAGCAAGGATGTGAGGAAACCAGCAAGCGGAGCCCCAAGAAGTGAGTGTACATGACTGTGTGTCTGTATGCATGTGCATTTGTGGTCTCTGTGTGTGTGTGTGTGTGTGTGTTGTCATCACTGTTTGGGACTGTGTCCTGTCCCATTTGCTTTGCAGGAATCCACTACCAAATTGTAAAGTGGGATTGTAGTTAGTGGAATCTGGGCATTTAAGTCTTCCGGACCTGAGGTCCACTTCCATAACTTCTGTCATGTGCTATTTGAAGTATTCCTTAGTCTTTCTTTTTCCTCAGTGCCAGCCTCTGTAAAATGGGAATAGTATACCTACTCCATTGTGAGCATAATTAAAGAAATAAGTGTAAACTGCTTTCATTAAATACTAGTGCAGTGCTTATTTCTGTCTTTGTGGAGCATAAGACCTAGCTGGCCCTCCGTGGACCGTGAGGAAAGACAGCAGATGGGTTGGCCTGAGAAGTGATTCCTCAGTGTGTGCCTGTTAGACTCTGCAGTGACTGGGGGGACACAGTGATGGACGGCCCACCTGGCTTCTCAGACACTTCTAGTCTCAGAATTATGTGGTTACTTTACCGCAGTGCTCTGTCCGTTTCCTGCCTTTCTAGAAAATTTGAAGACCAGGGATGACTGGAGGATTAGTCCAGTAGCTGCTAAGCTTCAGAAGGGCAAAACTGGTCAATTTGACTGAATCGGAATCTAAGTGGACACAGGATCTTATCAAGGCCTACTTGGCCAAACGGCAGCCCCGGTTATCTGTAGTGAGAGGGAGGATGCTACTCTGGCCTTGTCTTTATGCACCTGTGTAACTCCCACCTCAGGATACTCCAAGTTTCCTGGCATGCAAAGGTCTGTCAACATTTTAAGGGCTTCAGAGCTCCTCTAACTCATGAAGAGTTGAACTGCAGGAGATAAGTGATTAAGTGATAAGTTAGAGATGGACTTGGGCCTTAGAATACAGGTATCTTTGCCTCCTTTTGTGATTCCATTTATAACTCTTATAAAGTAAGAATGTTAGAATTCAAATCTGACTGTATTCTCTTTCTTTGAGGGAGTTTATTGCAGTTGCTTCCTGGTTTCATTTAAAAAAACTTATGTTCAAAATCCCCTGTTTACAGCGGTAGCAGCTGAAGTTAAAGTACTATCTGCAGTTTATGCAATCCCTGGAACGATGCGAATCACACCACCTACAAACTGACTGACTTGAAGTTTGCTATGTGGGAGGCAGGGAGGGACTAGCGGAAGTAGAGGAACTGGAGAGAACTTGTAAATGCCTTCTCCATGCTTGATGCCACCCCTGCTTAATGTTTTTAGAATGTGTGTGATGACTCATAATAATACGTACTCAGGGACTGATTCTTTCATTCAACACTTACTGCGCCTCTTCTGTGCTGTAACACCACACAAGGTCAGAGTCACAGATGGTCAGCATCCTTGGCCTGCAGGGACTCGAGCGGAAGGCTGCAGTGACAGGAAATTGGTAGGGCACATGACCTCAGGATATTAATATCAGACTATTTGTTTCCTTTACTGTAAATCTTGGCTTGAAGTTTACTGCTTCTTCCAAATGTCATATGACCAGCATTTTCTTCCAAATATTTTTATATGAAAGTCTACTTAACAGTATTGCAAAAAAGCTCCTTTTCTTTGAGTAAAAGAGTACAGTTCTACAAAAATGGTAATTTGTTTGACAGCTGATGATGGATTTCATGAACAAGTGAATTTGCTTGCAGTTCTGAGGGACTAGCGATAAATTAGTGTTTGCAAAGTGCTTCCATCCATATTAGAGAAAATGTAAAACTTAGTTGGTCTGAAAAGCAGTAAGATTTGAAATGACTGTGATTATCTTCCAAATCACACTGGGCGTGCACAGAAATGAAAAAGCAGAGTTGGACAGGAAAGAGGAGAAAGAATCTATTTAAGATTGCTAAATTGCTATCTGTTTTGATAAGGTAATTGGCCAGAAAATTAAACGCTCTGGGTAGAACAAAGTTGTTTTCTGTAAGCTCGTACAGCCAAATGTCATTTTTATTCAGTAAGTACAGGAATATAAGGATAAATAGCCAATAATTAGCCAAAAAGTAATAGCCAAAAATAGCCAAAAATTAAAACTATAGAAAGAATAAATGTAACAAAAAGAAACAAGGCTTTTTAATGCACATTAATATTTGTATATGAAACTTCATTGCTGAGTATGTGATTTATAGAATTACCTTCTTCCTAAATGCCCTTTGAGTCAATTTAATCCTTTAGCATTCTTCTTTGGAAGACATTTTTGTAAACAGTGAAGAACACTAAATTATGGAGCAAATAAGGAAATCTGGTTTCTAATACTGAATATAATTTATCCTTGATGTTTGGATTAGTTTTTCTTTTTCCTGGTACTGGGAATCAGACTCAGGACCTTGCACTTGCCAGGCAGTCACTTGTGCCACTGAGCTAAATACCCAGCCCTCTGAGTATGATTTAAACAACAAATTTACTAATGTGTTTTTTAAAATTTTTCATCTGTACAATGATGCTTCAAATTAAATCATCCTTCAATATTGTTTCCAGCATAGAATAAAGATTTTAATTCTAGAACTTTCTCAACATTTCAGGAAAGGTAGAGGACTAAACTTGATAGGAATCTTAACTTTAAGTAGAAGTTTACACAGAAATTCAAGTTCAGCTTTTAGCTTTGAAATCTGAACTCATTTCCCAGCCTTTTTGTATGATAATAAGTTTATATTTTATTGATCTACACCTGATGTTAGAATTCTTTGGTTGATTACATTTTGCAAATGCAAGAGGGTAGGGCCAGTAGGCGAGATCTAACATTATTCCTACCAGATTTCTAAAACCTCCTGTGACCACAGCATAGCCAGGTTGACTTTCTGTAACAAGAGCTACCATGGATGAAGGGTTCTGGGACTAAGTTCACATCAGGAAGCCCCAAGGAACATTCTCATGTGTACCCCAAGATTGTACTCTTCCTCTTTTCAGAAGCTATAATGGGAGTTAAGTTTCATTTTTAATCTGTCCATCTGCTTTGGTTGATACTATTGAAGCATACTGCAGACAGTTGTTGGAGGAAGGAAAGAAAAATGTAGAGGGAAGCCCTGAAATTCTTTAAGGAAATTGTAGTGAATTACTTTTGAAATGATTGGCTTTACATTCTATTGAGTCCAGCTATAATCTGTGGGAATTTGGGAAATTGCTTATTTGTATTTTTAGCTTTAATTTACTTACCTGAAAAATGAAGATGTTATATTATTTATCAAGATTTTTTAAGGATAAGATTTTGAGAAAAACTAACAGTCCTGGAACATAATAAATGTATCATACATGGTAGCTATTATTATTAACATTGTCTTCCTGCCAACTGATCACTTTCATTTACATCATTTGCTTGCATTTCAAAACAGGATTTGATGTGCCTTCAGCAATAAACACAAGCAATAGTAAGCAAGAAAACTGGTGGTGGTGGTGGGGAATATGAGGTTGGACTAGATGACGCAAAACAATAGACTTTGCTAATTTTGAGAATCATCACTTCAGAGGGTAACAGCTTTGATTTTTCTTCCCAACAGATATGACATCAAGGCTCTCATCGGGACAGGCAGTTTCAGCAAGGTTGTCAGGGTGGAACAGAAGACCACCAAGAAACCATTTGCAATAAAAGTGATGGAAACGAGACAGAGAGAAGGCCGAGAAGCTTGCGAGGCTGAGCTCCGTGTCCTCAGGCGGGTTAGCCACCCTTATATTGTGCAGCTCATGGAGATCTTTGAGGCCCAGGACCGAGTTTACCTGGTGATGGAGCTGGCGACCGGTGGGGAGCTCCTAGAGAGACTCATTGCTCAGGGAACCTTTACGGAGCGGGATGCTGTCAGAATCCTTGGCATGGTTGCTGAAGGGATTAGGTATTTGCATACTCTGCGAATCACACACAGGGACCTAAGGCCTGAAAATCTCTTATACTATCATCCAGGCGCTGAGTCTAAAATTTTAATCACAGATTTTGGGTTTGCCCACTCTGGGAACAAAAGTGGTGACTGGATGATAAGAACGCTGTGTGGGACCCCAGAGTACATGGCTCCTGAAATTTTGCTAAGGAAACCTTATACCAGTGCTGTGGACATGTGGGCTCTGGGTGTAATCACCTATGTTTTACTTAGTGGATCTCTGCCTTTTGATGATGAAAGCCATACAGAGCTTTACAGGAAGATTCTGAAAGGCAAATATACTTACACAGGCGAGGTAAGAGATTGCTATTTCTTGCCTTGTTGGTATAGAATAGTTTCTGTATCTTGGCATCGTTTGATATTTAGGGATGGATGATTTTTATTGTGGAGAGAGGGACTGTGCTGTGCACTGTAGGATTCTGAGCAAAATCCCCAACTTCTATCCATAGATGCCTCTAACGTGGCCTCCTCAGTTGTGAAACCCAAAGATAACACTGGCCGATGTCCCTTGTTGAACAAAATTGCTCCTGGTTGAGAGCCATTGGTTTCAAGGAGGCAGAGACCTTTCTTGAGTACTGAGCTGTGTGTGGGTAGCACTTGACATTGGTGACCGTGGAGATCAGTGAGTTGGTGTAAGTCAGCATGCAGAGCCTGAGCTGGCTGACGCATGTGTGCTCAAAAACTCAACATGGTGCTCCGGTGTTTGGTGACAGATTTTCCGCCTCAGATCTGGACCATCAAAGCCCTTTTTACAAAGCAGTGTTTTTTCAGTGATGTGTTTAACCTCACAACTTGTGTAAAATAGTCATTGTTTAAAGTTGGAACTCCCAGTGCTCATGAATGTGTGAAGCTTTTTGTTGTTTTTGGATAGGGAAGGGAAGTTGCCAAAGCTTTGTAGAGGAAGCCCAACCAAGTATGAATCTCATTTTTTGTAGGGCAAATGAACAAATTTAATTTCTCATAAAACTGTTGATAGTTTGATTATACCTACTTACAAGGTAGCATGTATGTTTGCTGTACTTTCTTGAACAAAATCAAAATGAATTAACAAATTAAAGAGTAGCATTTTCATCCTCTGAAAGAAATTTAGTACCTTATTGTACATGTCTGTGTTTTAAAAACTGATACAAATTAATAAATGAGAACTAAAATTTATAAAGGGAGGCAGGAAAAGCTGAGAAGAATTCAGACAATGCCATGCCATTGCTTATTAAAATTTAAATCATGTACAATCTCATTAATAACCAAAGAAATGCAAAAGAAAACAAAAATACTTTTTGTGATCTTTCAAACTGATAAAGATAATACCCAAGGTTATTGCTTCTAGAAGAGAAAAGAGATTATCCTGCTCATTCACAGAAGGCAGATTGTCCCAAGTTTCCTGGAAAGAGCTTGACAGTGTGCATCTAGAGCTATAAACAATTTATGTATTTGCTTGGCAGCGCTGCTTCTAAGAACTGAAGAAGGTAATCTCAGATGCAACAAAGGTTTCAGTGTAAGGATGCCCTTTGAACTCTAAAACAATGTTTGAATAAATTATCAGACATTCATATGATAGGACATGATGGTCCCTAAGTTACACACATTATAAGGATATTGAAAAATGTTCACAATAAACGGTCAAGTGGAGAAAATGCAGTCTGTACTATAACTTGTGCGTATAGTATCACCATGTTCATGTGGGAAAATGTACACCTAGGAAAAAGGTTAGGAGAAAATGTAATAAAATGTTAACAGACCCTATATCCTGAGTTGGGGATTATGGATCATTTTGGGTTTTTTTTTTGTTCTATTTTGAATTTAAGTATATTTTTGTGTTGGTCTTGTTTTCACAAAACGCATTTCTATTGTGGTTGTCTATCGTTGTGTAACAAACCACATCAAAGCCCAGTGGCGTAAACCAATAACATGATTTGTAATTCTGTGGGCTGATGAGGCTTTGCTTGTTGACTTCCTCCTACATGACATAGGATGGGAATGTGGTCTTCCGACACTTGACTAGGATGCAGTGCCAATGCATCACTAAGGACCACTCAAATGTGTGACATGGCTGGAAAGTTGGTGGGGATGGCTGGAAAGTTGGGTTTGACTAGGTCACGGGGACCACATACCTCTTCCTTTTCATCTTCTGTGAGTTGCAGGATCCCTTTTTCTCCATGAGGCTTCTCTTGCAGGGCAGCCAGACTTCCTACATGGCATTTCAGGGCTCCTAAAATGGAATATTCTAAGAGAAAGTGAGCGAATGTGGACAGTTATCTTGACCCAGTACCACTTCTGCCTCAGTCAGTCGTAGAGTGTGATTACCTTGGCATGGTCCACCATGGTCTGTTTGTGGACTAGGTAGCGGTTAGTTTCTCTAACATGAAAAAATGAACATATTTTGTTCAAAAGTTTAATTTGGAAGGATTCTAGACGGTTGCACAGAAGCAACCTTGAGAAGCTGACTGATGTGCTCATCATTTGCTCTGGGTAGGTAGGTGGCTCAGGAAACAGGTAAAGAAGCCAGGGTGGGAGAATTGTAGGCAGAGGGATGAGGAGGCACAGACCACAGTGGGTCAGTCTCAGGCTGCAGAGCAGTTATTTCCTAACAGTGTTCAGAGGCAGAGAGCTGGGTTTCCACTCTCACACATATCCATCGGTGGGATCATTGGTGGTAGGAAATCTCCAGCTTTTAGGATCAAGGCAAAGTGAAAAAGAAGGTGCTGAGCTTTAGAAGTTAAGCATTTAATGGAAAAATATGATCATACCTCTAGAAAATAGGCGCCAGAGGCTGACATAGAGAACTGAAACTTTCTCTGCTGTAGGAGTCCAAGGGCCCCACAGCACCCTGTGCTTCTTGGGGACATGCCTGTCTATAGCTTGAGAGTACTAACAACACATACTGTGTACTGGGAGTGTGACATTATCACACATTATTGGAAATATATTCTCTTGATATTCTTCCCTGTGTTTGTGAGGCACACATGTCTGTCATATTAACTGTCATAGTCACATCTTTTCATATTATCATATTTCATATTATCATATTTCATATCATAAAACATTTTAGCTTAGGTTGCCATATCAAAGTATCACAGGCTGGGTAGCATAAGCAACAGAAACTTATTTCTCACAGTTTTGGAAAGCTGAAGAGTCCAAGATCAGTAGGTTTTATTCTGAGGCCTTTTCTCTTGGCTTGTAGCATGAATGAGCCTCTCTTCTGAAAAAGCATTAATCCAGCTGGGCGTGATGACACATGCCCAGAATTACAGTACTCTGGGAGGCTGATGCAAAAGACACAGACACAAGTTCAAACCCAACCTGGCAACTCAGTGAAATACTATTTCAAAATAAAATTTAAAAAGGCAAGATGTGTAGCATCCAGGGTAAAGGTGCTGGGTTTAGTCTGTAGTACCACAAAAACAATGAACAAATGAATGAATGAATGAGCACTGATCTTATCAGGTGATAGCTTCACCTTTAGCTTAAGTTTACTCTTTTAACTTTCTTTATTCCCTTTGCAGCCACTTCTTCACATAAAACCACACTGGGAATTAGGGCTTCAATATGTGAATTTTGGATATCCAACAACATTCAATTCATAGAGATATAGGAAAGCTATAGCTCCTTTCCTATTAGATGTCAAATGTGCTGAGTTTGTAGTCTCACAACATTAGGGAATGAAGCTGTGAACCAAAGGAGGAAGTTAGAAGAGTTTGGATGGATATAGGTGAACAAGGGTAGCTCCTAGATTTCCAGGAGAGGTCCTGAATGGGTCATCACTGAGGTCCTTTGTCAAGGATACAGCAAAATCATTGCGGGTTGACATAGGTCAGACTACCGTCAACTTATAGGATTACAAGTGTAGTCACTTAGCTAATGTTGATCAGCAGAAAAATGAGTCCCATAACAAGGATACGTGGAAAGAACAAAGGCATTTGGGGAAGGAAGCTAGTATGGGTTCAGATATTCTGGTCACCTACCTATGTGTCTGATGCTATTTGGGCCCACTGAATCAGGTGGTGCTAACTACAGCATAATCTCAAATTGATGTTTATCTTGAAGGTCTGGAATCTCCATCTGGAAGTCTGGCTCTTTTTAGATTTGCCTCCAGCCACAATTCTGATGTCTATAATTTTTGTTACCTTTTTTGAAGCCCCAGCCTCTCTTTGATTGTATATTTGTTTTATTCAACTTAGTTGCTTATATGAATAACATTGAGGAATTGTATACTGAGAGACTTGGAAAATTATATTATCGTTTATTTCTGTTGTCATATTATTATATACTTAGAACTTACCGACAAGCCTAGTAATTTCAAATTTGTTTAAGTATTAGAGCTACTATCGATTCTGCAAGCACAGGTATGTTAGAAAAAATAACGGCCCCACCAAAGATGTCTATGCCCTAAGTCCCTGAGCCTGTGAACTCTGTCTGCCATGGCAGGAGTCTGCAGATATGATTAAATGAATGATTACATTAATGATTTTGTTAATCATAATAATATTAATGATTTTACTTAATTTTTTGGGGGGTCTGTTTTAAATGGGTTTCACTGTGTAGTTCAGGCTGGCCTTGAACTTAGTTTGTAGCCCAGGCTGGCCTTGAACTCAAAGCGATTCTCCTGCCTCAGGCTTTTGAGTGCTGGGATTACAGGTGTGCATCAACATGCCCGGCAAATTAATGGTCGTAAAAAGTACAGGTTACTCTAGATTGTGTGGGTGAATCAATTAATATGAGGTTCAAGGGTCTTTGCAGTAGGAAGACAAATCAAAGCTGGAGACCGGAGGTAGGACGATGGAGATAGATTAAAGTGATGTGCTTTGAAGACGGAAGGGGGAGCTGGGCCAGGGGTACATGTTGCAATCTCAGCACTCAGGAGCTTCAGACAGGAGGCTGTAAGTTCAGTGCCACCCTGGCAACTTGACTCAAGCTGCAAAAAATTTTAAAAAAAAAATTAGAGAAGGAACAAAGGCCTAGGGCTCAGTCCCTGGTACTCCCAAAAGAAGATGAAGGGAGTCATGAGGCAAGGAATTAGAGAAATCTCTAGAAGTTGGAAAAGAACAAGAGCTTCCAGAGGGAACATAGTTCTGGTGACTCCTTGATTTTATCCTATAAGAAGACTCTGTGTAGACTTCTGATGTGAGGAATGTAAAAGAATAAATTTGCATTTTTAAAAAAAATCCTTTCACTTACACAGAAATATCACATATGACCTGCTATAAGTATCTTTTCTAGAATTCAGGTGGAAAAAGTGAATTAAATAAGATAAACTCTTCCAGAGATCTATGAACTGTATCTTTGAACTGTATCTATGAAGAAGAGTGATATGCTTGACATAAATACAGAATTTTTTACTAAGTACCTGGCAGATACAGATTTTAACTCCAACCATACGTAAGTAAAACATTAACTACAATATTAATGTTTTGATGATCTCATATGAATTTTGGTGTGAAATATATTCTTTTTTCATTAAATCATCAGTGACATGTCATTTAAAACATTTTAAAAATTTTATATTAAAGATGATAAAGCAGAATAAAAGCAATCAAAATAAAAGGGATACAGGATTTCAAAACATTGCAAAATAACAATAGTTACCATAATGACCATAATGACCATAATGCAGCTCAGGGCACAGTATGGAGCAACACTGACTGGATTGTACAATCAGTTCTGCTGTTTACTAAATATGTAATTTTGGTCATCTTTTTAAACGTCACTGTATCTCTGTTTGTGCATTTATAAAATAATAGTAGTATCTCCCTAATAGGATTGTTGTAAAGACCAGACGCACTAATAAGATAGATAGATGTGTTTAGAGCAGTTGTATATGTTGGTCCATATACACTGGGTGCTATCTCTGTATTAGCTTTTCTTTTATTGTTACTTTTTCCATCTCCTGGCAGCACTGGTGATTGAACTTAGGGCCTTGCACACTCTAAACAAGCAGTCTATCACTATATCCTTGACCCTTTTTATTTTTAGGGTTTCATTACATTTCTCATTCTGGACTCAAATTTTCCAATCTCAGTCCCCAACTAGATAGGATTATAATCACACATCGTCCTGTTCAGCATTGTTACTATTAACACGGAAAAGTGAGGCTGAAAGTTTTAATATTGTTTAAGTAAGTTATTAGTTTTATGCTTTGAGCTTTTTAAAAACCAGTACAAACTTCATTTTTTGAGTGTACCATTTTTATCATTTAAATGGAATAGTGAAAAATGACTGATACTAGAATTTTAATACAAATAATAAATTATAAGCAATATCATAAGTTGGAAATCATACATTCTTTTTTGTACCAGGAATTGAACTCAGGATCTTGCCAAACAGAAGTTGTGTTGCTGAGCTATATCCCTGGCCCCATATATTCTTACCTAACTAAATTCCAGTGGATCACAGTAGTTTTGGGGCATAAAATAATTAGATAATAAAATAAATCTTATAACCATATCAGGCAAGGGATGAGGTAAAACACTGGTATATGGACATTGACAAAAAATAGTTCCCATCTGCTTAAACTCATATAAAAATTATTTTTTTATAGTTATAAAAAGAGACTGCACACTAATGTTAAGGAAGAAGAAAAATGCAACTTACAAGTTTTCCATTTATATAAACTTTTAACAAAAATTATTATTAAGTCACAAGTTTGCCATCAATAGAGATTTTTAACAAAAATTATGATTTCAGGGGATAAATGATATTTTGAGGACTTTTAAAACAGTAAACTACACTCGGTCCTTAATCCTTTTAAGCTACAAGAGTCAAGACATACATAAAATATAAAAGAACATTCTCTTAATTTCTTTTAATCCTCCCAAGGTAGTGCAGTGTGTAGTCCTTTTGCCAGTATTAACTTTCAGTTTTATATGGGAGAGTTATTGTGGTTTTGTATAGTTTAGTTAGTTTCTTTTGGAGAAGACAAATAGGCCAAGAACCACAATGAGGAAAAGAAGAAAGAAGGTAGAAAAAAAAGACCTGAATTATCCACAAATATTGTAATTTACTTACAAATAATTAATTGAATGATCTTTAGGTGAAGGAAAGCTCTACATTAATTTTCACTAGTTTACTATCTCTTAACCAAGAACAACTGCTAATTCTACTCCCACACCTCCCTTTCCTTCCCCCTCATTTGCTTATTATTATTATTATTACTAATTAGTATTATTATGACTTTGTGTGCTGAGGATTAAAACCAGGGCCTCTCATATGCTAGACAAATTCGCTGAACCACTTTATCCAGGCTTTTTTTTTTTCTTTTCTTTTTGGGGCACAGATTCACCATGGTAGTAATATACGGAATTGGTCAGAGAAGTACAAGGTAACTTTCCCATTGCATTTTTCTGGATGCCATCAGTGAATGTGTCCATGAAGGAATCAAGGAGGAAAGTATGAGGATTTAGTAGTAGCAAAAGCAATAGAGATGATTTGCATATCTTATACTCTGAAAACCAATTTTCTGTCCTTGATTTGATGAGATCCTAGGAACGATCTTGTGAAAATGATAGGAAGACCCTCCTTTCACAGAGGAGGAAACTGAGACCCCAAGGTTGTGGCACTGAGTGTGGATGGACAACCTGGCCAGGCGGACCTCAGTCCCAGGGCGCTTTCCCCACACTGAATTGGGCTTCCAAGGCAGTGTTGACCAAGACTGCTGGCAAAGGCTGTGCCAAGGGGAATTTTTAGGCAATGGGGGAGGGCGAGGCTGTGAGGAGAAATAATGAGAGCTCTGTTAACTTTGGAAGCTGAAGTGAGCACCCAGTGCTGTCTTCAGGTGACAGATGGTTCAGTGGGAACCCATGTGTGGTCTCCTAATAGCTTTTGCTCCTATAATATTATTAGCCAAAATTTTTGAGTATACACAGTTTTTGCTCATTTGTAGAATAAGTACATGCATACACAAAAGTTTCTTTACTTTGTTAAACACAGACAAAAGTAAATTTGGGTTAAGTAGATAAAAATAAAATAGAAGCTCTTTTCCTTTCCATATGTGCCTTTCTCTAATATGTTATGTGAAAGTGACTCATAGGTACTCTCTGATTGTTCTTTAAGGCTCAAGAATTCTGTAATTTATAGCTCATGTTTGAATAATAAGCTTTGGCTGAAGAACTTTTTCCCAGCACACCAGTTACATTATTTTCTAAAACTGCATTTTAATGTACATTCACTTGGAGTCATTTAATGAATTCCCCATAAACCTGGCTGTAAGTATTTTATTCTCTTACCAGATAGATTCAGCCGCTGGTCTTAAATACTCCGCTGGAGACCTCTAATTCAACCTTCATTTAAGCAGTCATGGGCCCACGTGTGTGTGGGTCCAGGGCCAAGGAGATGTCACCAACATCAGAGGGTTTGCCTTTATATCAAGCCCATACGTGCTTAGTCTCTACTTGCGAGTTTGTATTTTACTTTTTCCACGTTTGAGTATTTGACAGACATGTTCATTTATTTTATAACACTTGGGGATAAATATTCTTCGTATGTCATTTACTTAAATAAACTGAAGGCAAAAAAAAAAAAGAAAGAAAAAAAGAAAAAAAGACTAACCTTTTAACTTACTGGTTTCTTGTTCAAGTTCTAGATTGACAGATGCTTAGATATTGGAGTATGTGACATGTATGCGTGGAGTTTGATTTTTTTTTCCTTACACAAGGGCAAAGACAAAAGATTGTCAAGACTCTCTTGTTGTGTCCTACACACAGAATTTTAAAGAACATAGGTACCCACAGATTGTGTTTTAGATATAAAAAATGTACTGCCAATTTTCTCAGTGTTTCTCCTTTTCAGGGGAATAGAAAATCTTAGGACTTTTCTTCTAGGTTGTGTTATGTGTTGTTTGTGGAAACTTTTTTTTTGCTTCCTTGAGATCAAACCCAGAGCCTTGAGTGTGTTAGGCAAGTGTCCATCACTGAGCTACTTCCTCAGCTCTGTGTGTCAGGGCAGCCTAATCGCCAAGGCCTTGGGAGCATGTCTGCTTTTGAATAAATAGTGTTGACATTTACCTTTTTGTTGGTTGTGCTTAGTCACGGGCCTTGAACTCAGGGCCTCATGCATGCAAAATTGAAGTATGAAGCAACAGCACTTTTTTGTCCCCATCTTTGCAATTGCCACTGTGAATTACTCCAGAGTCTGGGCACGTGCCATAAATATTGAAAGAGCGAGCTGCCGGAACATCAAACAGCTAGTTGTACATATTGCTGTGGGTCATAGCTCTGCCGTTTGCTGAATCCCATTTGTATCAGCTCTTTGAGACTCAGAGGCCCTGTGCGTTGGAAGAAAGGCGCTGCAGGGGGATCCTCTGCTGAATTGCCTTTTACATTCTTCCCTTTCCCCTTCCAGCTGTGGAGATGGCGGCATCCTGGGTCCTGAACAAGCTTTCAAAGGGAGAGAAAAGTTGATGATTCCTCAGTCCAGTCTGCTTTCCACTCTACTTAATCCTAGGAGTCACAGGGACTTTGAAGGATGACCAGTGTGGGGAAAGATGCCACTAGCCTGATGTAGTCCATCAAAAGCAGCTGCAGTGCCCAGTCCAGCTCCTGTAATTGGGATTGTTAGTGAGAATCTCAGTAACTGTAGCACACTGGACAGATACGGGGAAGGAATTCCCCATTCATTGGTCAGAGAGTTGAAAGAGAATTTCCATGTTTTTCTTTTGCTAAAGAGGTCTTTTTTCTTCTCCCAAAAATGAATTTTCAGATTTGCTGTATATTATAATAACACAGTATTGGTAGGCACTGCTTTATTGTGAATATGAATCTCTCTGTGTGTTTTATTTTCTATAATCTTATTTATTTATGTTTCTTCTTAGCCTTGGCCAAGTATTTCCCACTTGGCGAAGGACTTTATAGACAGACTGCTGATTCTGGAGGCTAGTCATCGAATGTCAGCTGGTCAGGCCCTGGATCATCCCTGGGTGATCTCCATGGCTGCAGGAGCTTCAATGAAGAATCTCCAGAGAGTCATTTCCAGGAACCTCAAGCGAAGGGTGTCTCTCCACTCTCACAGTCCTGGATCTGCTCAGTCTTCTAAGTCGTGTTATTCTCACAAGTCAAAACACATGTGGAGCAAAAGAAGCTTAAAGACAGCAGAGACTTCTCAGTCTGCACTTTTGTAAGCAGACGGCTTCTAGAATTATTTTATCCAATTGTAAGCCTGATCTACCAACCTTACTAACAGCATTGGGTCAAGAGGGACAGTTTCATCATGATCAGGGCAGCCTAATCGCCGAGGCCTTGGGAGCATGTCTGCTTCTGAATAAATAGTGTTGACATTTACCTTTTTGTTGGTTGTGTTTAGTCACGGGCCTTGAACTCAGGGCCTCATGCATGCTAAAGGAGCATCTAGTACTGAGCTACCCCTTAGCCCTTTCTGTTTTATTTTTGAGACAGAATTGCAACCCAGGCTGGCCTCAAATTTGTAGTCTTTGTACCTCAGCCTTCTTGTATCTGGGATTACATGCATGCATCACTGTGTCTGGATTTATTTTTAACATGTTTTGGCCTTTTGTTTTTCCTGTCCCTGTATTTATTGCCCAAAATTATACTGCTGCAAGAAATTAAAAGTGTAGTAAATACTATGTATGTTTAGATCATTGGAAACAGTGGATGTAGAAAATCTCTTAAGTTTTGAATGGACTAAATAAAACATGGTGCTTTAAGAATAAGAGGTGAGGGGCTAGGGATATAGCTTAGTAACACTTGCCTGCCTGGCAAGTGTGAGGTCCTGAGTTCAATTCCTGATATCTCCCCCCAAGTGAGTAAGAGATGAATACTTGAAGTCATGATGAATTAGAGACATAGTGGGTATAGTTAAACATGGGGAATAAATTTATTTATCTTAAGGTTATTGCTTTTTATTTAAGACCCAGCATATGGCATGAACTAGAAGACACTCAAAACAGTTACCATAATCTATGAGCTGCACATTTAATTTGCAAATGTTTATGGAAAATTGTTACTTATAGGGCATATCTTAAGAATGATACACATGATACAATTTTTCTCCAGTAGAAACACTTTACATGGGACATTACTTATTGAAAAAGTTTTAAAAATTAGACAATAATCATTTTTTTCTTATGTTAGTATTCATCATTCACTAGAGTTTATGAAAGAAATGTGATCATTTTACTTCTTTTTGCTATGTCACCTCTTTTTAATCAGCACAATTCTTCTAGAATTATTTAATCAAATACTTTGATGACTGTATATACCTACTTTGAAATAAATACAGTGAATTAAAAGAGGTAAATTCCAAAACCCAGTTCCTCAAGCAAGATACTGATCTCAATCCCTAGTATTTCAAAGGCCATTCCATATAAATTTTTTTGGAAAAATCATTTCACAATTAAATCATGATTTGGGCTTCTCTTAAGGCCTAGTGTCTTGCCATGTGAGCCGGCTCTGGCATGTGGAAACCACCCCATGTGCCTCTGGTCTCCATTGTGGCCTCAACGGTCCTGTGATGCCGTGGTGCTTCAGGGCAAAGATACCTCAGCTGAAGACATTCTGGTTCCTTGAGAAGCAAGTAGTAATAAAGGTTTCACCTGGGGGAAGGACAAACTTCTTATTAACCTGTCATCTCTCACACCGTCCTCATCAACATAAAACCCTCATTAGTTTAAAATCACTGTTGCTTCTTGAGTCATCCAAAGTCATCCTCACAGCTGCCCTCTGAAGCCATCTGATAATCCCCTCACCATGTTCTTCAGTGTAAACGTGATCAATAAACACCGAGACGCTGGCTGCCTCATGGCCTTTTTGTTCCTCCTGAACAGCTGGCCATCCCACATCCCCATTGCGTCGCCATTTTGTCTCTTGCTCTTTTTTTTTTTTTGCTATGCATTGTGTAACATCTTGCAGGAGATTGGGGTCCCCTGCAGGGGTCCCTGATACTAACACAGTAAATTTTATGAAGAGTGAGGTATTATTATATCTGTGGATCACATGTGGATCACTATGGATAATTATAGTAAATAAATGATTTGTGTATTTATATTGCTTAATTTATTTTAAAAATACAATAACATTGCTAGCATGACATTTTCTGTAACAATAAAATCACTCTGAATTTTTATTTTTTCTTTTATAGGCTGTATATATGCAGTAGCTATCTATATAATACATAAAGATGAATATATATTACTTTTTAAATTGCAATGCTGCATCATATATGACAGATATGGATTGCTTTCTTTAAAACACTTCCAAATTCTTAAGAAAAATAATACCAAATGGGAAATATTTTAACAGGTGGCTCATTAATGTGTAACATTAGAATGCTCAGTTTCACTCATAATTAGTAAAATGGAGATTAAAACAACAAAGAGGTAGTATTTTTTCACTTATCAGATTGAAACTATTTCCAATGGGACAAAGTATGCAGGCCAGCAGATATCTGTGTACTTTGCTTAAAGTGGAAGACAGAGTGGCAGCAAATATCTATTCAAATTAGAAATGCCTTGACTTTGACCTAGTAGTGGCATTTCTAGAAATTTGTCCTCCACATCTTAAGAAAGTGTACATATGCAAAAACACATAAAGCATTGTTATTTATATAAACACGGATCATGTTACTGCCTTGCAATAGGGCAGCTCAGCATATTACATTAAGCACAGAGTGACGATTTGCATAGTCATTGGAAATCACTTGGCAGGTCTACATATTATGCTGTATGTTATTTATAGTATGTGAAAAAGCAAGATGCAAAGGATTATTGCAGTATACTTTTCTTGTGTATGAAAAAGAATAGGTTCAGAAGCTTGAAAGATTGGCAAGAACTTGAGAAACTGATTATTTCTGGGGACAAATAGAAAGTTTTGAATGAGAGGGAATGGTTTACTTTTCATTTTATACTTATTTCTACTTTGAAAAACTTTTTAATTGGTGTATTTGTTTTAAGCCTAAAGTCCAAGGGAAATCCAACTAAAAATGTAAATGATAGGGGAAGCAACTATAAAGAGAGAAGCCAGAATCAGCAGCCCTATAAGTATTCTCTTTCTCTGGTGTTTTTTGGTACCAGGAATTGAACTCACAACCTTGCATTTGCTAGGCAGGTGCTTGTGCCACTGAGCTAAATCCCCAGTCCCTAAGAATTGAGGACTGAATAATCTGATGTAAAAATCAATTCTTATTAATTAATTGAATAGATTATATATTTGCCATTTGAAATTTTCAGAATTAAAAATAAAAATTTATAAACAAGTTTCTACAAAGATATTTGATATTGGGCCTCTAAAAAAATCCAAATATAAGGCAAATGTTGTAACTCCCAACATGCTAGATGTCTGATATGCTGAATTAGTTTCCCAAAATTGAGTAAATTTTAAGGAACAATGGAGATTAAGAGTTGGATATATTTATGGAGTGAAAGATAGTTTCTGTCTAAGAGAGACAGAAAGGGACCTGGAAAGTGAACCCACTTCCCAAAGGAAGTTTGCAAAATCACAAAGTGGGTATCAAATCATGAGGTGGGTGCAAGGTGGGACAAATCTATGCTCAACCAATATGACTACAGGTAATAGAGTTGCTAGGTAACAAGAATCCAATGGGGAGGCAAGTCTCATCACAAGATGGGAATAACGTGGGACGGAACTATGATCAACCAATGTGATTACAAATATATTCACTGAGCAATATGGATCCAGTGCAGAAGCCAGTGGCACAGCAAGTGTGCATGGAAAGAACAAGGACCTTTCTTGGAAGAGATGGGTCAAGGTCAAGGTCTCACCAAGGCAGTTAGAAGGTCCCTCGCTGCTACCCCTAGGGGCAGTATGTAGATTACAGTCTTTCTATCCTTGTCTTGAGGTCTGGACTTCAACAAATGTGCCATTCCCACAGCTGTAATGTATATTCTGCACTGACTTTTTAGGGGGCCTATCTCTGTCTGACTGCCCATAATACTTCTGACTAATTTAGCTGTCTATAATATATTGATATAAATAAAATTTATAATGCTAATACTTTCTGATTTATTAAATGATTGGAAAACAGTTTAAAAAAGAAAATGATCATGTAATTTTGTCTTAACATTTACTTTGTTCCAAGTAATGTGCTAAGATACTTTTCTTTAAAGAATAAAGTATATTTTATTTTTTCAATGAAATATTATTTAGACTACAAAGAAAAAATCCTTTCATTTGTGAAAATATAGATTAGGTAGGCAATCTTTAAGTAAAATATGTCAGAGACGAATTTTTATCATAGCCATGTTTAGAATCTAAAGTTGTCAACTGTACAGCATTACGGAGCACAATGACGGCTATCACATGAAGTCTTGGTGAAACTGAGAGACGCTAATTAAAAGGCTTCACGTTTCTTTTGTGCTCTACAAAACACCTACAGATCACAGGGTGATTACAGACATCAGTGTAGTGTCCCCTATACAGTTGCTGTTTGCTAAGACAATTGTTTGCCCCATACTTGGAAGGTGAATGTGTTTAGTGATAAATATACTACCTAGAGGAATTGTGGTAATCGCTTTACAATATAATCATACATGAAAACATTTATGTTATGTTAAATGTTTTATTTACTACAATTATGCTAAATGAAATTAGTAATTCTTAATTTGAACAAAATTAACATTATGCGTTTATGATAGTGATATGGGGAAAGAAACTCCCAACCTAGTAGATGTTTGGTATGCGTTTGTGCTCTCCAAAACTGAAGAATGAATTTTAGGAACAACGGAGGTTCAGAGCAGAATATATTTACTGAAAGAAAGAAAGCTTTTTAAAATCAATTCCTGATGTTTATACTTAGGGTGTTTGCCTTTTGTCTTGAGATCTGGCCCACAGCAGAGATGTCTGCCTCCTCCAAGTTTGCAAAATCTGATCTTCTGCTCTGGCTTGGGAGCCTAGCCCTGTCTGACTTCCTAGAATATTTCTGTCCAACTCAGCTTCCTATAACATTATGTACCACAAATTTGCCCTTTCACTGAATTTTTAACATATATTTTTCGTATACAGTATTATTTCATTTGGTCCTCACAACTCACCTAGGATAAGCTAAGTGTTATTCTTAGTTTGGGTTTATATATGAGGAAACTAAACCTCAGAGATGTGAAGCAATTCATCCAAGATCACCAGCAGGTAAAAAGAAACGGATGGAAGAATGAGAAACTCAGAACTCATGCTTCAGCTTCTGCATTGGATCATTTCCAAGAAATAAGAATGCAAAAGGTGGATTCTGGCTTTTAGAATTTGTTCATTTTGCCACAAAGAAATGGTGAAGTACAATATTATGCAAAGTTATAGTGTAAATATTGGTAGTTTCCTTGGATAACTGACTTTCCCATTATTGGCCTGTGGAGGGTACCTTGAGATGCTTTTCTGTCAATGTCAGACGTGGTTGGTAAGAAGTCTCCCCACTCCCATCCTCAAACCCAAACACAGGACTCTTGTTTTTGCAGAAGCAAAAAAAGATACTGAATGCAGGGCAAGGAGCCAGGGCAAGCGAGAGGAGGCTGGTCTGAGAGAGGGTGCCTGTAGCCTCCCAGAGCTGCAAGGGCAGGG